TACAAAGTTTTCTATTGTGCTTTATTCTGGAATTTGACACTGCCTGCTGAATGATGTCATCCACAATTCCCCACTCCAGAAACCATGAGGGGAATTAGTACAAGATTTTGGTTCCACGAATTCTGGGATGGTTTGAGTGTGGACAAGCGTTACTTATATCTGGTTAATGGTTGCCTAGGACACCATCAACCAATCAAAACTAACACTTGTCCACGATCCCAGAAATCGTTGTACCAAAAGCTTGTACCCATTCCCATTATAGTTTCTGGAGTGGGGAACACAAGGATATAAGCAAAAAACTTGCATATTTTTGAATTACTGCACTTTTCATAAACACGCGAACTCTGAAGTTAAAAAACCAACTGTTGTTTGTGTTTTTTGCTGCCGTCAATCATCTTAACGGACCTCTTAGGAAACAGAACTTTGCTTAAACAGGTTCAAAAGGTCAAGGTTTGTGATCTGTGATTGGTGGATTTCGATCCGTTTTGTGTGTTTCTGTGTTTCAAGGTTCATTGCTTGTAATCGTAATTATGATTGACGGCAGCGAAAAACACAATTGTGAAGGCGGCTTTGGACTTTTAGAGTTCGCATGTTTGTGAAAAGCGCAGTAAAGTACACTGTAAGCAGCGAAGACATAACTACACGCATCCTGAAGGCTGTGACTTTCACTGTACATTGTACACAATCATATGCCATACCAACTTTACAAATTCCCTAGTTTCTTTGAGCACTGTGCCTTATTTCTGGTGAATATCCTACCTTCTTCATCTGAAACTTTATTGTTGAGCGCACTTCCTCCACCTTCTGCACCATGTTGTCATTGTGAGTCAGTGCTGTGGGAAATTTGCCAGCCTTGTTCAGACCAGGACCAAGAATACGAGGAATCTGCCTGATTAGACTGTCTGAAGCTAGGAAAGCATCGTATTTCTTGGCTAGAAAAGAGGAATGATGTCAGTGCATGGCGCTTCACTAAGTGGTGTGAATGCAGTGAAATAGTTTTGGGCAAATTAAAAGAGAATACTTGGCCCCTTATCTGCATGTAAAGCATAGCATAAACAAATTGCCTTTCTCTTTAAAGATTTCAAAATAAATAAGGTAGTCATGAGTTGCCTGGTATTCTGTAGTTAATCAATACAGTATGCTCTACATTGATTGCAAAACAATAATATGCTTTATCAAATGGGGATCACTTTAATAAGATGATCAATGTTCCAGAAAACCATGTTAACAACAAATGATTCACCAGTTATAGTGCACTATCACAGCTTAGCATGAAAATTTACATGCCAAAGAGGAGGGTATATACTGTGATTGTGAAAGCAGAAAATAAAAACTCTTACCAAGCTTTTTGACCAGTTTCTTGTTTTTGTTTAGCTTCTTTAAAGCTTCAACATCCATGCAAGGGATGTCATTTGCCTTGGCCTCGTCACAGTGAGATGCATCACCCAGAATACAAACCTTGAGTTTGGGTCGTGGAATATGCTTGAGCTTTACCGTTCCACTGAAACGCTTATCCTTCTGAGGATCATAATTCTTCAAGCTGATCTGCAGCTCAACAGTTTCCGTAAACTTTCTTTTCTTGTCCTTGGCACCTTGCAGTACAGCACTGCAGCACTCAAACAGTGTATCACGGTGAAGCTTACTAGGGAAATGGAAATACATGCAATGCACAAAATGATTACTTGTCCCATTCTTGTTTATTGTTTAAAAACAAGGCATGATGCTAGGACAATACTGAGCTTACACAACACAATCACGAGGATGACAAAATGTTTGTGAGTGACAAATGTGACAGGGCTATTACTTCTGTGTTTTGTTGTGAGCTTTCCTTAACATTAATGTGTTCTGCTCTTTTACAAAAAAAATCTGTTTAAAGGAATTTTTTAAACATACCAGTATTTATTGTCATGCTTGGCATAAAAGGTTTGCCATCTTCCTTCACCTGCTGCACTTTTGCATAAGCTCACTAGTGATGATGATTTTGATTAATATAATTTTATTGTGATGATGATGACGATGATGATGATAGGCCATGCTTGTTAAACAAATGGTCATCAGGGTTAAAATACACTTTATTTGAAGATTAACTTCCATTTTTCGGGGACGAGCTCACCTTTGTTCGCACTTGCTTCAAAACTGCTTTTACCCTGTGAGCAGAGGCCCTTGCTCGCAGGGTAAACTGAGTCATGAGGTTATGTCACATAGGTTACGTCATGCAAAACTATTTTGTCTTTTGTCACTCGAGTTACAAATAAAATTCGATAAAATCGGTCAATGCTTTTCTTTTTCTTTTCTTTTTTTGGCCATCTTTGCCCTCTGTAAATCCTTCCATTTTGCTCTGTTTTTGTAGTCAGGATTGTCGGGAACGAACACGGTGTCTTATACCCTGCTAGCAGAGTCTCACTGCCATCTTATCTAGAAAAGATCGAAGATACTCTGCTAACAGGGTACGTATCTTGAATCACAATTTATTTATTAATTAAAGACAAGGAAGCTCATATATTAGAAAAATTGTTATCTTGAACACCCATCCACTTCTATTTTTTAATGCTTATCTATCGATGGCAAGCGAGTAGGTTGAAAAGATGAGATTACAACTTCACAAACCTCATGATGATCACTTAACGAGCAAAGAGAAAGAGAAGAGAAAGTTGCTGGTAAAGTGCGCTGTCACATTGCGGGCGCTTAATACGTTCTTCTCAACCACAGGTTACCCAAGTGAATCGTCTTCGAAATATAAAAGGCGATTTGTGCGGAAGCAAAAGGATTGTTTCTGCTTACGGATGTGAAGGGATTTAAACAAAACTCTCGGTGTCCATTATATAGAGGTGTCCCTTAAGAGAGAGTTGGCTGTAGTCACCGAGCCGGTGAATCGGGGACCACACAGGAAAGAAACAATCAACCTAGTAAGTTACCTTTTGAATTGTGGTCCCTACCTGTTACCTACCTTTCCCTCGCCCCCCTCCTCGCGCGTCCCTCGTATCGGGCTCTCGCGCAGAAATTTCCTCCTCTCTTTCCCGTTTTAACGCCTGACACGAAGGCTACCGAGATCCGGAATCCTTTGTGGATAATTTACCATCGGCCTCCTACGCTGGCTGCTATACAATAATTGTCAAACATCACCACAAAATGCCGAAATCGCGTCAAAAGTCGGACGCAAAATCATCTAACGAGGAACAAGAAGAAGTGACCGTTGTGGACATTGCGGTCGTTGAAGCATCCTCGGAACCCAGGGGGTAGTCAATCAGGTCGGGAGAAAGGCCCGATTAAAGTTTGCTTGAAAACTTTCTTCGCGCCTTTTCTCCCAACCCGACTGACTGCCCTTGGGTCTTCGAGGATCAGGAGGATGTCGTTGAAGACATATAAAAACTGTTTGGGAAAAAAAATGGTGGGATGGGGGTTTTGTGATTAAATAGTGGCCGCGAGGAGCACCAGTTGGTCAGTTTCAGAGGCCTGTATTTCAGCTATTTAATATTTTCCTTTTCTTTTTTATTGTTTCAGAACAGCAAACTGCCGCTAAATACAAAAAAAGAAAGTGATTTATACGGTATAATACTAGAATTAAGAAGTAATTACATGGATTCTAAGCTTCCTTCATCTCTGTGCGAGTTAGTGTCACACACGCTGAATAAAACCTCCTTGGAAATACTGCACCAAAACGGCGACGGCTGAATCGTAGCCAGTGGGTGCGAGGTTAATTTCAACTCATTGTATTTTTTATTTCAGCCTTCGGACAAACATTACACCGTTTTGGAAACTGGTTTCTTCCAGTAAGAATGACCACAGCATAAAGGCATTCAGGTGTCTGGATCGAAAATACTTAAACTTTGCGTCCAAACATGACGCCCAAGGCTCTTGACATCTTTTGATCGTGGAGTCGCGCTTTTTGTTTTAGAACTCTGAGCTGTTCTTGAACTGCTTTATTTTGAGGGTCAAGTGTCAAAGCCTAAAATCAATCAAACCAGGAAAAAAAAGTTAAAGAAATACACGTATAACTCAATACCTCAGTAACTGACCTTCTAAGATTAGAAAGGGCGTCAGGCCCGGTCTCTGATTAACAGAAACTACCAAAGTTTAAAGACATGGCATATGATTCCATTTAAACCCCCTTGCATTAAAACATTTCTCGTTGGATCAGTGACCAAATAGATAGATTGACAGATAGATAGATGCTTGTTTATTTTACCCAATTGCAGGATTGACTGAATTGCTGGGTAGGCAAACAATAAGCATGCACAGTTACACAATATGTTGATATTTGACATTAACAAAATCATTTAGTCTATTATAGTCCATCCGAGTAAGGGTCTTGGATTGCGGGAACGAAGAAAGTATTAGCACTATAAACGATACGTGAGGGAGGGGATAACACGAAGGGAGGTTGTTGCCGTGCATTTATCCTGAACTTCTGACAGGCAGTAACTCGCCTGCCTTTACATATAAGTGTAGCTATAGGCCTGCCATGCCCATGGCAATCAGCGAACATAAACCTGATAACCTTTTTTTTTCTTTTTTTGTACACTTCTTTTCATTAAGCTTCATGTCGCGTTCTGAAGGGTATATGTGTTGATATCTGCAGCAATGACAGGCAAATAACTTGGTGCGAACCTAAACTGAAGTATCATCAACATATTAATTTTAACCTATTACGCCAATCTCTACACAAATTAGTAACTACGATCGCAAAAAGAAACGGAGCTAATTTCGTTCCTTGTGGGATCCCTCCACGGTCTTACTCGCTGCACTCGACCTGTCAAAAGATCTGATCCAGCGAATGATAGCTTCGTGTATGCCTAGGAGCTGCAACTCTCGAACTAGCATGTTGTGGTCCACCAAGTAGAATCCTTTGCTGAAATCAGCAAAGAATACACGAACGTACGTATTGCCTTGATCAAGGGACTGAAGGAAGGTGTGGAGAAAATAAACAAGAGCGTGGGTGGTCGATTTTCCCGCAGGTGCAAATCGGTAAACATCAAGTTTATCGCAGACTTGATTCAAAAGCGTAAGCGAAATTGGACGTAGATCCTAGGCCTGATCTAGCTGTTCGACGGATTTTGACGGAGAACACTATGGCACCGGGACAACGTCCGACTGTTTGAGGGGTTCGGGCACATAACCTTCAATAATCGATTGATTGATTGATTGATTGATTGNAGAAACTACCAAAGTTTAAAGACATGGCATATGATTCCATTTAAACCCCCTTGCATTAAAACATTTCTCGTTGGATCAGTGACCAAATAGATAGATTGACAGATAGATAGATGCTTGTTTATTTTACCCAATTGCAGGATTGACTGAATTGCTGGGTAGGCAAACAATAAGCATGCACAGTTACACAATATGTTGATATTTGACATTAACAAAATCATTTAGTCTATTATAGTCCATCCGAGTAAGGGTCTTGGATTGCGGGAACGAAGAAAGTATTAGCACTATAAACGATACGTGAGGGAGGGGATAACACGAAGGGAGGTTGTTGCCGTGCATTTATCCTGAACTTCTGACAGGCAGTAACTCGCCTGCCTTTACATATAAGTGTAGCTATAGGCCTGCCATGCCCATGGCAATCAGCGAACATAAACCTGATAACCTTTTTTTTTCTTTTTTTGTACACTTCTTTTCATTAAGCTTCATGTCGCGTTCTGAAGGGTATATGTGTTGATATCTGCAGCAATGACAGGCAAATAACTTGGTGCGAACCTAAACTGAAGTATCATCAACATATTAATTTTAACCTATTACGCCAATCTCTACACAAATTAGTAACTACGATCGCAAAAAGAAACGGAGCTAATTTCGTTCCTTGTGGGATCCCTCCACGGTCTTACTCGCTGCACTCGACCTGTCAAAAGATCTGATCCAGCGAATGATAGCTTCGTGTATGCCTAGGAGCTGCAACTCTCGAACTAGCATGTTGTGGTCCACCAAGTAGAATCCTTTGCTGAAATCAGCAAAGAATACACGAACGTACGTATTGCCTTGATCAAGGGACTGAAGGAAGGTGTGGAGAAAATAAACAAGAGCGTGGGTGGTCGATTTTCCCGCAGGTGCAAATCGGTAAACATCAAGTTTATCGCAGACTTGATTCAAAAGCGTAAGCGAAATTGGACGTAGATCCTAGGCCTGATCTAGCTGTTCGACGGATTTTGACGGAGAACACTATGGCACCGGGACAACGTCCGACTGTTTGAGGGGTTCGGGCACATAACCTTCAATAATCGATTGATTGATTGATTGATTGATTGGTCGATCGATCTAAATGAATTTGTTTTTTAACGATAGTATGATCTATCAAACTTTCCTTTCTGTCGGATACCAAATTTGAAACGGACAAACCTCACGATAGATCAGTGGGAACAGGAAACTCTCAGAATGAAACATCTATGATGCCATCAATAGGGCCATTTTAATATACGAGGAAAAATAAGACGCGAACTGTACCATTTATACGAGCATGTCTTATCTAATAAGACGCGTCTTAGCTAAGCCGCGTCTTATTTTAGACGAAATGTGCCGTTTATACGGCAAGTTCGCGTCTTATTTAAGACGCGTCTTATTTTTCCTCGTATAAATGGCCCTAGTGTTTACCTTTTCTAAGTCTTCCCTTGCCTTCTCAAATTCATTTAACACCACAAAGGCCTGTAAAGTATCATGAACAAAATTGAATCATTAAACATAATATAATTATTAAATATTAATGAATTACATGGTATGAACTCCTATGTTTATTAAAGTTAAACATCTTTGTGGCATAATTACCGGCGGATCACACTCTGCATTTATAGTAATTTTTCTTCAAACTCTGTACTTATACCTGATACATTTTTACCATTTTACCTGTCCTCTCCTGAACAATGCTTTGATGTTTGTTGGCAGCATTGCAAGAACCTAAAGGGTGACAAAAAAAAAATAGAAGTAATGTGAGAGATATACCGATGCTTCTTCCTAAATATTCACTGAGATCATCATCATACCTCTATTATAATAAATTAATGACATTGTAAAGGCTTAAAAATTATGATATATTATGCTAAAAAGAGGGCTCGAAACAGTCCCATCTTATCGTCCAGCACAAATAGGTTTTCTTACTGGAAAAGAAACTGTTTAAGCTCACTTGTCAAATGGGCATAGAGTCGAGGCAGATCGTCTTCCAACTAAATCATTATCTATAAAGACAAGCAATTAGTTACTCTGGGCAAGTAAAGCGTGAGAGTTTTTGTTTTTGTTTTTGCCTTTTCTTGCATAAAATTAAATGCACTCATCAATTTCCCGTTTTCAACTCATTTTCACAAGAAAGGTTGTGCACCTAGCCTCATTTTGAAACTGAGAGTTTTTGGAACTCAGAAGTGGCCTACTATTGCATTTCTACTGCCTAGAGCTATTAACATAAAAAATCATTCTCATATAAACACTCTAAAAGACACTATGTTTATTAACTCTAACCTTTGTGCAGTTTTGTGCAACAAATTCATACTGTCCCATTTTTCCTTGACATGCTGATAAATTTAGAAGGCATGAAACTCTAAGCTGGTCATACTCTTCTCTGCAATTCTCTGGTAACTGATCACCAATTAAGATCAGTTGCTTCAGGGCTTGGCTGTAGCGTCTGGCTGCACACAGCCACTTACTTGCCTAAAAAATATGTTGAAGAGGAAAAAATCAAGCACTTGAAAACTTGGCTCAGGTAATAATATTATCTCAAACCTCTCAAACCCTTTTTGTTCCCTTTTTACTAATTATGCATGCAGTTCAACAAAAAAGGGGAGGCACAAGGCCAGTGGACTAAAATTACATAAAATTTACATATATAGTTACACTTTACGTATTTCCCTAGTAGAGGATCTTTATAGACAAAAAAAACAAATCAAATAGCAAAAATTTTAGTGTCAACATCCATCCCAACAGGTGCACACAATGATTACGGGTACTGTATATATAAAAAAATAAATGGACAACTATTCAGGACTATATAACATGAGATCAGCAAAACCCTGACACATGCAGAACAACAGCTACTTATATTTACATGTATCAGAAAAAAGGGTGGGTTTGGTATTAATACACATGTAGGACTTGAATGCCTTTTCCAACCTGAATACAGCCACACCTAACAGAAAATGTGGGACTCAGAAACTTTTCACCCACTCTTGAAATCTCAGAAAAAAATGCTATATATGTAATGATGAGTTGTTGTTGTTGTTTTTGGTTTGTTTTTGTGTGACTTTGTTTTTTATTTATTGCTTGTTTGCTTTTTCTTTGAATTTAGTTTCCTTTTTGTAAGGTTAATTTCTTGTAAGGTCTTTGTTTGAGTGTCTGAGCAAGTCTTGGGTTCACCATTCACCCCTTGGTACCCCTACATCGACATAAATGTGGGTTATGGATTTTTGACATGATAAGATTAATCATTTACTGCACCGTAATAAGGAGAATTTATAAAATGTGTTAAACTACAAGCAACTAACTACTACTGACACTTATTCAGGGTTTTCATTAAGAATTCTAGTAGCAGGAGAAGTGTCGTCACGCAATGCTCCTCCCTACTAGGAGGAGCGTGGCGTGACGACACTAATAACGGCTGTGTAGCAGACTAGAGAAAGGTAATGTTACAGGAGAGTATTTTAAAAGAGGATCCACGTCTGAATATAATATAATCATAGACTATCAAACATTCGCCGGAGAATTAAGCCTTATAAACAGAGAATTCTCCAATCTCCGATGCCTAATGAACCCTCTGCTTATTGTTCAGTTGACCTTAAAACAATCTGTTCCTTTGGTTTTATGGTGTTTGGCCAATGTCACTTTTTCCTCTGGGGAAGTTTCCCAAGGCTCCTTTGCCTGTAACAGATTCAAAGGGAAAACTTATGTAAGATTGGTACATACAGTCACATCATAAGTTACCTAAGGAGACATAATGAATTTCATCCAATCAAATATAAGATGTTTTGAACACTCCAATAATTTTCGGAAATACATATTTACCTATTTTACTTATTTTATCAGCTTTGCCTTATACATGATTCACAAAAAAAGAAGGATAATAGATGTATTACGCAAAATAAAGAATTAAAAAACACATAATTTGGTAGGGGTCATGACTTTCAGCCTTAAGCTAATTACAGTGGTCCCAGGGCTTGAAAAACATGTAAAATACAGTACTGCGACATATATGATGTCGTATGATGGTGCTATAGATCAATTAAAGACAACAACTGGGCAGATTATGTGAAATGATGCTCAGTTTTTACTTTTTATACTAATGATGATATATACATGTAAGTAAGAGACAGTTGATTATTGGCATTTGCAGGTCACATACCTTATAGAAAGAAAGAAGCTCAATTTCACATTGTAGACCACTCTCAGAAGAAACACTTTTCTCTTTGTCGGTGCTATCACTGGTGTATGGTATAACACAAACTTCACTGGTATGCATACATTCTAAGCATCTATCCAAGGACTCTGACACTTCACTGTCCCCTATAAAACCAGGAATTTTAAACTCTTTAGTAAGTGATTATTTAGTTTACAGTCCCTTTTTCGCCACCGCCCTATGCCAAGAGTGAAGAGACCTTGCTTGCAGGGTAGGGTATTCACAATACTTTTGTAGGTGACTAGTCATAATCTGATATTAAATCCAAAGTATAAAATTCACTAAACCATTCAAATTTATAATAATTGCACTATACAATTTAAGTTCTATCAGACGGGTTTCAAATGAATGGCGACATGTACCACAGCGCAGGATTTTGTTCATGATAGATACCATAGTCTTGTCATAACTTGTACAAAAAAAGAGAGTCAACAGATTTTAGATAGATCTCTGGAGGTTGGCACCTCTGCCATGCCTCTATACTCCTTATGCAGTAACAACCAGCCCTCCCCCCCACCCCCACCCCCCTCCCGCCCCCACACAAATAATGACAGGTTTCTATTTTAACACTTTTACTCCCAAGTGCTATTATCCGAGATACTCCCTATTCACTGTATAACAACTAATACCTACAGTGCTGTAGATCTAAGGCGTACCCCTGACCCCCATCCTCAAATCAAAATTCAAAATCAGCACTTTGGGGTTGAAGAGATGCAAACCCCTGGAGACCCAAAGTCGGGAGACTCTTTTTTTCCCCCCCCCCCCCCCCACCCCCGCCTCCCCCCTTCTCCGAAAAACTGACCCAGCCCTCAATGGGAATGACTTAGGACACTATGTGACGTCTTTAATACATGATCAATATACTATCAAAATTCGAAAGCATCGTTTTGATGCTAGAAATAATCTTTGTTAATGACTAAATACGTGCAAAAAAGCCCCAGAAACCGTCCTGCGAATAAGAAAAATTCAAGTTTTGAGCTAAAAATGGGCTAAATCTCAAACTAAGTCTGTTTTATTTTTTACTAAGTATTCCATATTTATAGTGGACGTAAAAAGCGGGAGATTTATGTACCAAAGCGGGCGAGCGGGAGACGAGGCAAAAAAGCGTAAGTCTCCCGCCAATAGCGGGAGAGTTGGCATCACTGGGGTTGGCCAAAGAAAGATTGAAGTCTTACAGATGATTTAATTATCTTCAGTAACTTAATAAGATGTAGAGCTAGGCTTAAATCCCGGTTTATTGACATGGACAAGATGTCCAGTAATAAAAGTAAAAGAAGTGATACTCACCTTCACCGATTATTATCTTCTTCTCGCACTCTTGAATTACGCTTTCATCTTGACGAAAAACTTTCAGTTTCACTGCAAAACCAGTACATGCAGAGTGTAGGTCTACTAGCTCATATTATATCGGTACGCTGAGGCCAAAAAAAATCCAGGAGAAAAGAAGATCGTTACCTTGACAAGAAGAACCATAATTAGGCGTTTCTAAACCGGTTCCTTTTCGAACAACAGTTCTTGAAGCTCCTGTCGCAGAAATGTCAACCATGATAATCCGCCATATTGAAAGTTAAGAAAGCTCGGCGATGATTGGCTAGCATATCATCGATGGACCAATCATAAGACAATATTCCAGATGAAATCTTCAGACTTCTTGGTCGTCTCCTTTCTTCCGAAGATTTCATATGGCTAAAGCCATTGGAAATCGCGGAAATGGTCCGTTATTTGGAATTTGAACATATTTTTAAACATCCTTTTGAGAAAGTTATTCGTGCATACTTCCAAAAGGTAAGCGCTGGATCGGTCATCGATGGTAATTGATTTCGTCGTGAAGAAATAAGCTTAATAAGCTTAATATAATTGAGGGTGCGTTTAATATCTCTGGAGAAAACTGGTCTGCGAAGCCAAGTGATAAACGTTTTCTCATGTTAACTAATTCTACCAACTGGTAGACATTTTATTTAGGCCTGTAATACGAGGTCACGAGGTAAGACAAGAACAATGTAAGCCTATTGCTGCAGCTGATTTCCTCCCTAGAGCTCTTACAACATCAGCTACAGCTGTTTCGGATAACACGAGACCTGCGATGTCAAAAACGTCTTTGGATTTTGGGGCCTATGTTAACGATTTGATTGACGTGGGAAAAAAACTCAAAGTCCTGAAACGTTTCGCGTTTTATCCGAAATACTAGAGCTGTTTAAATGAAATAAAGCTCTCTTCAAATTAGCCCTTTCGGCTATGTCCGTTGTCATAGGTTACTTGAAAAATCAACAAAATAACATTATTGAAAGAATTACTACTAAATTCGTTGTACCGCGCTGCACATTTTGAAAACTTCGAAGAGATTTTGGGTTTTTTTATGCTGTCAATCATTTGAGTGGGGGTGGGGTACCCAGTCAATGCAAATTGTAATGGGCACTTTCCATTTAGTCAACATTTCCGGAATTTCTGGTGGGCGGTAAATGGAACACGTTTTGTCGGTTCGTCCCATTGGAAAATTCCCACAAAAAGTGAAAAATCTAAAAAGGTGGGCCCATTTTCCCGGTTGGAATTTCCGAACGGAATTTTGTGTTCCATTTACACGTTTCTCATAGTTTGTATCAGTTCCAGGTCCATGGTCGGGCACCGCAACTTTCCGGGGTTTACGACCAAATGGAACAACTTTTTGCCAATCAGAAAATCCACCTTTGCTCCCACCGAAATTTCCAGGTTTTTTCCTAAATGGAAAGTGCCCAACGTTTGAACATGTTGCCCAGCTTGACCCGCAATTATTAAAACAAAACTGAAAATGGCAAAGAGAATCGCAATGGTGAGTGGAATTTTTCTCGAGGGAAGGAGGCAGACATTGCTATATTCTTGCAAATGACAATAATAAGAAAGATCAGAAATAAAGTTTGAAGCAAACCAGGCGATTATAGCCCGAAACAGGATAATCACAAGCAAAGAACCTTGAAACACAGTAACAAAGCAAACGGATCAAAATCCACCAATCACAAATCACAAACCCAGATCTTTTGAACTTGTTTAAGTAAACTTGTTTCCTAAGAAGTCCGCTAAGATGATTGACAGGACAGGAAAACCCAAAATTCCTTTGAATTTTGCAAACTACGCAGCACAATACAACAAATTTGGCAGTAACTATCCAGCCCTTCAAGTCTTTCCAGTCCAGCTGGTCTTATGACATGACCTTAGGTGTTGAATTTTTATTTATTTTTATTCTCGCACAGTACACAAGTGGTAAAGATAGCAATGTGACATCAATAAGAGTTGTGGAACACAAAGTAGGTAGGTGCACATTGTCAATGGTAGTTTTTCTGGTCTCTTCAATCACTGGATATCATCCTGAAAATAAAACACCTTTGACCAATTATACTATATTTGAGGACAGTGATCTTAGCACTTTTGTTGCAATAGGCCTTTTGCATTAGTTGATCACCTGATCATCTTTCGGTAAACACGAAAACAGTTTGCTTTGGAAAATTTTGCTAGTACGAGCTGAATGAGCATATTAAAATTAGGTAACCTGTAAATTTTCAGCCACATATCCCAAAAGTAGCAATTGCAGCCGCCACCGAAAACTAGAATGATTTGTATGAGAAAAACAACTCTTTTCACCCAGTCATGCTTGAGTGGTTTTCCATATAAGTCCTTGTAAATTCTGAAATTGGTGTTTAATCTTTCCCTTTGTATTTTAAAGGGCTCAAAGTGCCTGTTATTAATTAAAAGGAGATTTGAGCCCCGTAATGCGAAAGGAAATGTTTCATGACAGTTTGAAAATTTCGAAATTTAAAAAGATTTGTAAGGAAAACCATTCAAGGGTGACTGAGTTGCAAATGTTGTTTTTCTCATACAAATCAATCTAATTCTCAGCGGCTGTTGCAACTTTTGAGATATACGGCTGAAAATATACAGGTTACCTAATTTTAATATGCTTATTCGGCTCGTGCTAGCAAAATTTTTCCAAAGCGACTGTTTTCGTGTTTACCGAAAGTTGATCAGTTCTCCCATATGTCACCAAAATTGATATTAACCAGAAGGCCAGGGGAATGCTGTACATGAAATAGGCCAGGTTATCATGAAATGTGGTTTAGAAGGTCTGACTTTGAGTTTATTAGCGAGTAGTTTAAGATTCCATGACTGCCCCTGCAGTTAAAATGTCACTGAAAACAGGAATTCACATTGTTTGAAACTTCACCTTTGTCACTATATCAATACATTGCATTTTTACATTTTGAATCAATTATTATAAAATTTGTATTAAATTAGCTGTTTTTATTCTGACTTACAGTATGTTGTTACAAGTACAAATTTACATTCATTTGTACACGCCTGCGAATGAATTTCATGTGCCTTTTGTTTCTTCTCTTAGACCCAGAAACTGGTGAGGAGTATATGATCAGAAGAGGGGAATGCGTTAATGTTTTACCAGGCATTTTAAAAAAGGTAGAAGTACAAATTTGAAGGGTCAACACTGGTAGAAGTGACAAGTTTGAATATATATTTTAAAACAAACTAATTTAATAAAGGATTTGTTGCACTTCTAAACTGTATCTAGAGGAAACAGGACATTATGTTTATCACCTAGTGATATTATTTAGCTTTTGTAAAGCAAAATGATATTGTATACACATGTACATGCAACAGGAGTTAGTCAACCAAACTGCACACATGTAAGGTCAGCCTCAGGAATAACAATACATCATAGTCTATATAGGCTGATCAACAGTTGACCTGGTAACACTTCACCTAAGTTAGCTTTCAGACAAAGGTTTATGATTTGATATCAGTAAAAATGTAGGTCAACAAAAAAAAACAGTGACTTACACATTATCAAAGAAAGAATAATGGTAACATATATTGTACAGTATAATTTAATATTGTAATAAACACCTTTTTTCTCTACTTCATTAATATTCCTGAATATTGATAATTATTATTTCCCTTTTGAATGTGAAAATTTATAAGAATGGGCTTGCATTGGTTCTCTACATTGTATTTTAATTCCTCCTTTGAATGCTAGAATTCAACTACAGTAGAACAAGCATGATATACTTTTCATAAAAATACATTTCTCGAATAATTATGTAGGTCTGTCCATACCCAGCACTTGAAGTTGAAGAGGAAGTGTGGTTAAACAAAAAAGAGAAATGTCTTCATCTTCACTGTTACAACTTGACATGGTCAAAGTATGCTTTCCTTGAAGAGTACAGCTGCTATCGAGCATGTGACACCAACCCAGACTGGTTAGTCCTATTAGCCACTATTAAAGTGATCTTATTTCATTTTTACATGTATCTTAGTTTAAGTACTGTATAACTTTAGCTAGCAGCTGGGCCTGGCTTGCAACCATTTTCTCTAGTGTGTTATCCCATCCCAGATTGCAAACAATACAGTCAGCCAGAAGTCAACACATCTAAATCATCAGCTAAGACAAGCAAGTAATTGCCCTAGGCAGCAAAATGTAACCGCTGGTTGCCTAAAGGACATGCTAGAATTCAAGACTTTTTTTTCCAAGTGCTGCTGCAATTATTTGAATTTCTTTTTATATTTCTTGGTAATGTGTGGAGGTCTCTTTACATATCATTAAATAGAAAAATTAATTGCTGAAACACTTTACACCTATACACTGAAGATTGGAAACCATAATTTCAGAACATGTCTTTGCAATTAATATTACTTAATTAAAATCAGCTAGTGATTTTCATCTCTACATAGGGAAGAAAATAATAATCAACGAGGATATAACAGCAGACATTAAGATTTTTGTGGCATTTTCAGGACATTATTTGAGCAGCGAGCTAGTATCAATGTCTACGGTGTTGGTTCAGTAATTGGCGGAATGTTTGAAGCCTTTGGACAAAGGTTCTTTCAACATGGGGCTAAAAAGGTAAATTTTTTGTGATATTTTTCCATTAATTGCTGCCTGAAATGTCAAGTTTGCTTGTCAACGACCCTGTTTTCTTCAGTGATTTTGTTTTTGTTCTAATTTTTTTTTTGTTTTTCATTTTTGCTTCATGTTTACTTTCTACACATGAATTGAAAGATTAAAATCCATTTCTACAGTTTTGGCTGAATTAGATCCTGAATTAGATCCTTCAATAATTTATTAATATTATTATTGTTTTTAATTTTTGGAACCATTGCACATCCATTCCAAAACAAATACCACTTAACTGAATAATGGCAATCCCAAAATGTCTGGGAACTTGTACATGTTTCATATTACGTCGATTGTATTAATTAAAATGAAAACTACAAAAAGTGAAGTTTATCTATCCACTTTTTTTTGTTGTTTCAGGGTTTCAACATTATGGAAGATCTTATAGTGGGTTCATAAACTCAAGCTTTAATACCCAGACGTCAAACTGAAACAGAAGAAGAGTTAAAATTCTGGTGCTTTTAAAAAATATCTTCTTCAACCTAGTATTGCCTTTTACACAAGAAATTCTTTCAGATTTTGCATAAATGGCTCTTCAAAGAAGCACTCATCTTTCAAATGAGAACTGTCAGCATCCCAACTGGGACTTGTAACATTTTTCTTTCATAAATAGACTTTCCCAGGTCTTGCCTAGTTCATCACTACAAAGGGCCACACTGCTAACCCAGAGTTAGGATTTTGATCAACATATCAGTTTACCTTGTTGCAGGTAGCCTGAGTAAACTTAATGTTAGTTAGCTTCTAACCTCTAATGAGCCTCTGGGACATGCAGCCGAATTCCTTTTGTAACATACCGACTACTCAAGTAGGCAAACCCGTAGAATAACTACTGTACACTGTGCGTTATGAGCGAAATTGGTATATACCCCGAAAGCAAAAAGTATTCGAAGAATAGTTAAGTTATGAAGGTCTATGTAAAATGTGTTTCACTCTAAAGCAACTGAGGAAATGTTTTCTACAAAAAATTGGCAAGCATGATAGTACATGTTATGGAGGTATCACTTCGAGGCCTTCCCGTACTTTTTTTCTGTTTTTTTTTTTGTTTACGTCGTCCGACAGACCCGCGCAACGCTTGCCATTTTCTATACAAAAGGGAACGACGTAGTTCAACCTTGTTTTATTTCTTTAATTCTTTTAATCTGAAAAATGAGCATTGTAACAGCATTTCCAGGCATAGATGTTTCGGTGGTATATCCTCTTTCCTTTTTACTTTCCAGGAAAGTTCTAGTTCCGGGAAGCCTATAGTTTATAACCCCCAGGCTTCTATATAGGCTTCCTTGCCATTACCGCTTTAAACATTTGATGTTGTTAATAATTTAGTTAGAATATTGTATATTATCTTTAATATACTATAAATTTCTGTATACTGTTGTTGTATTTCTGGTTGATGGCAAAAATAAATGAATGAATGAAATCGACCATCGTATAATTTTCTACCATATTCTACCATACTGAGTTCGTGTTGGTTTGGTAGTAACCATGGGTTGTGTTTACAGGTTCCTCGGCAATGATGCTGGGGTTTCAGGCCTCCTATTCTCAGAATTCTTGTGATTTCGATAAACGTTTTTTTTGCTTTTTGTTTTTTTTCCATCCGACCAACCGACTGAAAAAAAGGAAACGCATTCGACGCTAAACGAAGAAAAAGGAGACGGCCTGACAGAGGTAAAAAAAAAAAACAGTATTCGTGTCAGCAGAAAGTCGGGCTTTGCAATCTCGCCACTATGTCGAAAGTGGCTGCCTTTGGGTACATGTTCTTAATTTTCCTAAGAGTTGATGTTAAAAATAGAAGCTAGGGACATTTATGAAGTAACACTCACTAAAACGCATGACACTGAAAAACGGGAAAGATTTAATAAGCGCTGAGAAAATATTTTTTATTGTGCAATTATGAATTTTCTCCAAAAAGCACAAATTATGTTCCCCCTTTTCCCTCTCTTTCTAACTCCGTTGCTACAAGTCGCCCTGTAGCTCATCAAGTCTTCATTGGTTATGATTGCATTTTGCTTTTCGTTCACATTTCGGGACAGACAACTTCACTTACCGCTATATAGCCTACCTTGCAACCAGCCCATGCATTGTCAAAACCATGGTTATAAAGTAGTCCACGGACTTCACCCAAGCCATAGAGAAACGTGTATAGTTGGAAATTAAGATCCGTGGGCAGGGTTGTTCGAAGCTGTGTTAAGATAACCCATATGAATTCAGATATGAAAGCTTAATAAGCAAATTCAGTTTAATTCTTCTTGTCTACAATTTGATGGGTGGATGTTCTAAAAAGAGTGGCGAAAATTATCAGAGAAAGTGCTTTTGAACAAACGAAAATGAAAGCCGGATTAAAAATTTAACCCCGGGTTAGCGATAAACGGTCTTTAAACAACTGGGCCCAGCTGTCTCGACTAAAACCTCTTGACAATAATTTTTCCCTTCTCTTTTCGTGCCAGTTGTGTCCTGCCTTAAGGGACCGTATAAGCGGATAAGAGGAATGCATAAGAACTCCCTGGAAAGGAAATTCCACTTTTGGAAGGAAAAGCTTGATTTTCGCGGTATTCCGGTGCATGAATAATTAGGTGATACGATCTCCCGTTATCCACTACCACTACCCCACCCCGTCTCTGGTTTTCCTGCTCACAGTCTCTGAGCCAACCCCGCAATCTGAAAAACTAGAACAGGGTTCTCATACATCTGCAATAAACGTGCATTTACCTTGCGCCGTTTGTTTAATGGGAAACCCTCAATGGTCTAAGCTCTTTAAACCTTTTTCCTCCCTCACAAAGAAATGACACTCAACTTATTTCTGTTCCTTCGTTTATTTCTTTATTACATTTTACTTTAAGAGTATTGGATAATATCAGGAGATTAAATTGCGAATTATTACAAACAGAGAAAAATTAAGATTCCCCCTGGTTAGGAAGTCTGATATCTGCTCCATTTCAGTGCGCAGTTGGCAGAACTACACAGCGCAGCCATGCGCTTGTTTGACGTCATCAATGAACTTTTGCACGGTGCCACTGCCAGCAACAGTGTTGTAATACGTCTTCCAGTACTGTGCCTGCGATGGCAGGTCAGCTGGGATAGGAGGAGAAAGCCTGGCGAGAAAAAGCCGAGAAGCCAAACCAGAGTACAGCGGCATTTCCAAGTCTTGCCAACTTGTTTGGGTCCAATCAATGCCGAGCTTTGCCTTGATTTGGTCCCAATACTTTTTCAGGCTGGTCTGAATGACGGTCTCGCGGTAACCCACCTCATCAACCTTGGGTATCCATAAAACAAAGAATATCAAGTATTGCCTCCAATATAGTTAATTATCGCCCCATGTAAGAGAATCCAATACTAGTCTTGGCCTAGATTCCACGCCGTGGATTCCGGATTCCAGGCATTGGATTTCAGTCTTTGTCAGTGGAACTTATAGATTCCGGATTACAATCGTTACTCGGATTCCGGATTCGTTGGGTTTTATTGCGGATTCCACAGCCCAGGAATTTCGCATTCCACAAGCAAAACTTTCCCGGATTCTAGATCACAAGCGAACATTTTCGGGATTCCAGAAACTGGATTCCCTTAAGGTGATGTTACAGCGCAACACAACGTTGCAACATTATATTGTTGGGACATTGAATCGAATGGTTGCAACGTTGTTCCATCATTGCAACGCTGGTGTTGCGCTCAAAATCGTCCTTGCGAATTGTCTCATGTAACATCACCTTTACACGGGGCGATGATTACAAGAAAAAACTAAATAGTCAATTCAGTTTGATAAGGAATTTGAGCGTGCGATAACGAGAGAAAACTCATGTCGCTTTTGTCTTTGCTGTTTTTTTTTATCATAATTTATTTGAAAGAGTCCGCTTACCTGCCATATGCCGCCATAGTAACCACTCCTGTAGGTATTAGGATCCTTCCCATATTTGGACTCTACCCAGGCCACGCGGCAGAGAAACTTGTGATCGTTAGGAAAAATCCCTAATCCATTTATGGTGTCTACGACGTCCTTCACAACGCCTTCTCCTTCTCCTTTCGGTGTGTAAGCCATGCTTTCCAGTAAAGATGAACTGGGGAGAAAGAAAGATATGACTGAGGGTATATATCATGCAGGCATAATTTAAAGCCTGATAACATAGAAAACTGTCAATAATTATTTGGATTTTGTCTGACGCTGTGAAATTGACCAGGATCTTCAGTTGGAATTCTTTTACTGACAAAAGATTATGTACAACACTGTAGAGCCTGAAGGTCGATCGTCAGTTTAGGTCATTTTAAACAGGGGCACCCAACGTCAATTTTCGGAAAATATCCGTTCGGAAGACGATTTGAGATCTAGAATTTTCGGAACATTTGTTGTAGAATTTCTTGCTTGCCTGCCTCTCCTAGGATTTTCGAACATCTATATAAAGGTATCAGATTGCCCATTTTTAACGGATTTTTACCCTAAAAAGGTCACCTAGAATTTTAGGGAGCCTTTTTTCTGGCTGAGATTTTCGAAAAGGTAAGTTCTGATCCCTATAATTTTCGGATCACTAGACTTTCAGCTAGGAAATCCGAACAGATGAAAAAATTTTAGGGGATAAAAATATGCGTATATCATAGTACCGTTTAAATACTAAAATACGTTTAACAATGCTATGTTTGCCCCTGTTTAAATCAGTAATCGGCTGCTGGTAACTGATAATATTATCGAATTAAACATCTTCTTTTGACCTTTATTAGCTCCTTCACTTTAATAATAATAATAATAATCTTTATTGAGGATATCAGTTTCACTGATAAGTGATTTACAAAAGAGTCCTCAAAAATTAAAAAAGACCAAAAAGGAAAAATAAAGACTAATATATGAATATATAAAAATTAAACTAAAAACTATTTACATTTCTTAACACTCTTTTAAAACTAGCTAATGATGGGCTTTGTCTGATTGAAAGGTCTAATTTATTCCAATCGTTTGAGTTCCGAGAATTTCTATGGAATATTCGTCAGACAAAGGTGAAGACGATTTTTGTAACAAATAAGAATGAGAAATAACTTTTTTTTGGTTTGTTTATGGTATGATGAGGATTGTAAATGATGATTATGTTGTACAATATCTTAGGGGAAAAGCCCGAGGAGGGTACTCCCATACATTACAAATACGGGTATGTGCCGCCCAACGGGGTAGTGATTTTGAAGCTCCTGATTTAGAACGGGGTATCCATTTTAGAGGCGTTTTCTAGAACGGGATATAATGTTTCGAACGCAAGCTCCAGTTTTGTAAGCAGCTATTTGATATTATTCAAGGACAGATTGCTTTTAAAAATACGGTTCAATGCGCGCGTTAACAAGCAAACTGTTGTACTCTTGTTACACCCTGAACGGAGTATAAAAAATTGGCTCATTTCTAGAACGGGGTATCAGTTTTAGGGCGAATTCTAGAACGGGGTATCAATTTTAAGGGAATAGTTTTTAGAACGGGGTGCCAATTTGGAGGCCCGGGCGGCACATACCCACCCAAAAAATACCCAAGTGCCCCCCCGGGGGGGGAAAGTTCGTGAAAGTGAAAGTACACTGATTGTATACCGATTGTCTAAAGGACCTAACCGGAAGTGATGTTGCAACGCAGTTTACCGTTTTGAGCTTTTCTGGTTGAAAGTCTTTCGTTTGCAAGAGATACATCAAATTAAAAGTGCTTTGAAAATGCCACTTAGTAGGTCAAATGATATAAAACTATATTTTAAATGAGCTTCGTCTTGTCTGCCAAATCAGCGCTGAAATTACGAAGTTGCTGATGCATTGCGATATTTTACAATAAAACTGATTCTAAATTTGCTCCAGCAAAAAGTTAACGTTTCAGACCAAAAGAAATTCACCTCTGACTTGCAGCGATTCGGACACTCTCACCAAACCTCAACGCCTCAAGAAGAATTAGACATCAGGTCAGCAATAACCATGATATTAAAAACAAGAAAAGATGCCAGCTACTTTAAGTTTACCTCAGAATTTTCTTGCAGCGTGGAACTCTAGGTAAATAAATTAAAATACTTACTTCGGCTAATTCAACTTTCCTCTTGACTGTGTCCCAACTGAACTGCGCCGAAAATAATCTCATCTGCCTTCGCTTATCGGTTCAGGTTTTTGACTACCGCGTTTAATACGCGTCATTTGCCACAATTAGACTTCTGCGGGGGATAAGGTCATTGGCCAGTTCAGTGGGGTGATTGGAATATTTGTTTCCGCTTTATTTCCATGAAGAGAAAGGGAAAACTAACTTCAATACAAGAAAGGGTAAACGAGGGAAAACATGTCAAGTGAAAGACCTACTTGTATAATTGCGGCGTTAGCATACAGTTCAGTATGCAGATGTAATCTCCTGAATATTCCCTTGCAGTTGTGCATTTACTAGCCTGTTTCTTTTCCTTAAAACTGAAAGTGCTTACGAAGCATGAGATAGGGGGAATATTAAAATTGAAACTGATTTTAATAGCAATGACACTGAAATAAGTGATACTTATAACGACTGGCATATGTCTACACCGAGGTGATATTTCGTGCATATAAGCAGATTAGGTGGCTTTTTAAAAGCGATATTGAAAGCCTGTAAAAATAGCACCATGCAGGAGCCCATCAAATGGAGCCTCCATCTCCATTAATTTCTTGAGTCAACCCTTTCCCGAGTAGATTTATAAATAGAACGGCTAGTTTTCCCGCGAAAAGTGTCATATTTCCGCGAGTCTCGTGTGTCACCGCACCGTGAAAAAATAAAATTAGATGAAGTCGAACTCAGAAGCCCGTCCTTCGACCGTTTTCCTTTTCTCCTTTACGTCCATTTTTACACTTTTACAGCCGCTGGGATCTGGGTATCATGAAATAAAAGTGATGGGCTCCTGCACCATGGGATTCAAATCTCTCTACCCAATTGCATCGTCAGAAGAGACGGTAGTTTTAAGTTTTTTTAGATAGACGTGACTTTACGATCAGCTTTGCAGATGGATGTTCATTTTCAGAAGGAATAAACAAATTTTGCAGATTTCTTCGAAGTATAGTATAAAGACCAAACGATTTTTTAGGGGGGGAGGGGGTGGGGGAAGAAAGGGATTGGGGGAGATATTCATCCACGCAAGTACGTTCATTGACTGGTCCCAGTCAAATTATGTTCACGAAACGCCTTGAACTTTACAAATTTTACGAACAGCAATAAAAAACATGTCTTTTGATTCATTTAAGGTTTAAAGACACTTTTCACTCTACGCTGCACAACCGCTTGCTCGTCTCATATGTATAAGGTGATGATGTCACACAATATTTTATGGGAAGTTCGTGAAAGTGAAGGTAGAACTTGTACACTGATCGTCTAAAGGACTTACCAGAAGATATGTTGCAACGCCTACCGTTTTGAGTTTTTCTAGTTGAATTCTTTCGTTTGCAAGAGATACAATTAAACAAATTAAAAGTGCTTTTAAAATGCCACTTAGGTCAAATGATATAAAACTATTTTTTAAATAAGCTTCGTCTTGTCTGCCAACTCAGCGCTTAAATTACAAAGCTGCATGCATTGCAATATTTACAAAAAAACTGATTCGAAATTTGCTCAAGCAAAATGTTAGCGCGATTGACAAAAGAAATTCACCTATGACTTGCGGTGATTCGGATACTCTCACCAAACCTCAACGCTTCAACAAGAATAAAATATCAGATCAGCAATGACAAAAACAATGTAGTAGATGCCAGCTACTTTAAGTTTGCCTCAGAATTTTCTTGCAGCGTGGAATACTAGGTCTGCTCAGTAAAAATACTTACTTCGGCTAATTCAACTTTCCTCTTGACTGTGTTCCAACTGAACTGGGTTGCGCCGAAAATAATCTCCTTCGCTTCTGGGTTTAGGTTTTGACTATCGTGTTCAATTAATACACGTCATTCGCTGAGGGGATAAGGTGATTGGCCAGGTCAGTGGGGTGATTGTAATGTTTCTTTCCGCTTTATTTCCAGGAAGAGAAAGGGAAAACTGTAAACGTCAATACAAGAAAGGGTAAACGAAGGAAAACGTACTCTGGATAATTGCGTTGTTAGCATGCAGTTGATCAGTGTGCAAATGTAATCTCCTGAATACTCCCTTGGGCATTTAGTAGCCTGTATCTTTTCCTTAAAACTGAAAGTGCTTACGAAGCATGGGATAGGGGGAATATTAATATTGAAACTGATTTTAATAGTTATGACACTGGAATAAGCAATAAATATAAAGATTGGCATATGTCTACACTGAAGTGATATTCCGTGCATATAAGCAGATTAGGTGGCTTTTTAAAAGCCATATAGAAAGCCTGTAAAAATAGCATATAGGATTCAGATTTCTCGACCCACTTGCATCGTCAGAAGAGAAGTTAGTTTCAATGTTTTTTTTAGATAGACCTTTACGATCAGCTTTGCACATGCATGTTCATTTTCAGGAGGAATAAACAAATAAGGCAGATTTCTTGGAAGTTTTGATCAAATGATTTCTTTTGGGGGAGGGGGCAGGGGTGGGAGGGGGCAGGGGGAGAAAGGGATTGGCGGAGATATCCATCCAGGCACTTACGTTTGGACAGGTCCCAGTCACATTATGCTCGGCTTCCTTTATTCAAGCGATTTTTTCTTGTTACAATTCTACAATGAGCTGTGTTAAACGAAGCCACTATTAAATGTCTACTCAAATCCTTAAATGGCGGGTCTTTTTGAAAAACGCCTTGAATTTTGAAAACATTTTTACTTTGCGAACAGAAAAACAAACATGATTCATCTAAGGTTTAGAGACACTTTTCACTCTATACTGCGCAGCCACTTGCTCGTCTCACATCATTAATAAATTTCGTAACTGTTCCTTTTCCAGCCACTGTATTGTAGTATTTCTTCCAGTACGAGCCTTGCGATTGCAGGTTAGATGGAATCGCGGCGGGAATCCTGACAAGATACAAACGAGCAGCCAGCCCAGAATACAGCGGTTTCACCAAGTCTTGCCACGTTGTCTTGGTCCAGTCTATTCCGAGTTTGGCCTTGATTTGAGACCAGTATCCCCTCAAACGAGCGTTTCTGACTGTCTCCAGATGACCAATTCTGTCAACCTATTAAACAATTGCAATATTGCACGAGACTGACAGGCCTGTTTGGTGTAGACTCACCACCAGGATAATTCGTGCCTGCATCTGACTCGTCTCCAGTTGTCTTCGCGCGTAACGCACACTGGGGGAGCAGGGGGTGATCGGAAGGGAGAAGAGAGGATGACTACTCTCCGTCGCTTTCCTCCTTCCCATCACATCTTGCGCGCCACAAGGGAGAGGTTGTGAGAGACGACTGGGGACGGGTTAGGTTAGGCCAAGATACAAAAATCCAGAAAAATGGCCAAAAAATCTATCCGGAAATTCTCCAAAAAAATGTCTATAGATCCCAATTTTATTTCCAAAAATCTCGAAATTTATTCTAAAAAAATTCGATTTTTCCCAATGTTTTTTCGGCATAATCACATAATATGCATTCAATAAGGAATTCGTGTGACCTGTGCAATTTGACCACAGGTCCTGTTGTCAAATTGTATGCAAACACCTTCAAACTGATTCTAAATGATAATTTATTTACTAGACAATGTAAGTGGTTTGTCTCTATAATATATTAATTTTCAAACAAGCACTTCGTAATTTAAAGTTTAACATTTCATCAGTGGCATAACCGAGGCCAAAACCATGACAACTGTAGAATCTCTAAACATTATCGTCTAAAAATCCTAAAATTTTCTAAAAATCCCGTTTGGCTCTAAAAATCCTAAAAAAATCCGGATTTTTGTATCTAGACCTAAGACGAGTCAGTGTCTGCATCTTTTTACATATAGCCCGAGGGGGCAGGGGGGGGAGGGGGGGAGGAGAATTACTTAACAAAATCTTATATGGGAATGCTCTGCCCCGAGGTTCAACTCCTTACCCTCTTTGATATACCATTTTTGAAAGTAAAGGTACCCCTTTTGTTGAACCTTCTTTTGATAATTGGCCGTACCTCTTTCATATACCTAGATTACAACGTTGCATTCCCTTTAACAGCTTATAATATAAATGCACTCGTCTGTCTTTAAAATATGAATAAACAGAACGTTTCCTCGACTTTTTCTCAGCTTCTATAAATTAATGTATCTGTTAACTATGGGACTTTTTACAGAACTAAAGGACAGATACTTTCCGTAGTGTACCCATAGCAAAATCGGTCCTCCCTTTTTACATCCCTGAAGCCTGAAAATGGTACCCTTTTCGGGCACCACTTTCTAGTTTGGAATGCTTTTGAGGTTCTGCCATATAGTGGAATATGAGGGGGAATTAAGGGGGCATTCTGTTTTTGTTTTGTTTTTGTTTTTTTTTGGGGGGGGGGAGTATACCCTTACAACAGTTTGGACAATCTAGTGGACAATCTGGTCATATGTATACTGAACTACCACATCATATTTTGATTTTTAACAACCCGCAAATCCAATATTTTCTAATTTTCCAAACTTTTAAATACCCCCACTCCCTTAGTTTTTATACATTAAAAACATTCAAAAAATCATCTAAAAATTCTCTACATTAACCATTCATGTAATATAATGTAATGTAATGTCGTTGATTAGAGGACAACAGGACGCTCCCTCGTTACATTTTATATTAACATGTCTAACAGTAAGCTCGGACTTCAGCATACAGGGGCGCCAGTGGCAGCCGCTATCAGTCCATTTATGAGTTTACTGTAACCTTCCCACAGCCCATGATATGAATGATGCGTGATGCGTGATGCATGATGCCTGATGCCTGATGCGTGATACGTGATGCGTGATACGTGAAAGGTGGACCACACCACCAGGGAAGCTATCCTTAATCGTTTTTAACACTAGTGTTGGTTCTTTTACGTACCCTTCGATTTGACTAATGAAAGAAGGATGAAGGAGAAAAGGCCAACGGCTTAACGTAGCTGCCAAATAACGTGATCATCTAAACTGAAACAAGGTGTCAAATCACAGCCAGCATGATCTCACCTGTTTCAAAGACCCTGGTTGTTGGTCAGGCCGAGGTTTGAACCCACGACCCCGCGCTAGTCAGACGGATGCTCTCCCAACTGAGCTAATAAATGGTAAATGAAATTCCTCTTACGTAATGTCTCAAGCAAAAAGTGCTTCAGACGTTTGTTCTAGTTGTAATCTAGATCTGATGACTGTTTCAATAGGCCCTTTGCAGAACAAGGTCACGTGCTTGGATACAACTTAGTTGACGACTTGCTGGACGGCAAGCCTTCCAAGCGATCATTCCGATCGCAGAGCTTTGAGTGCGATCTAGCGATCATTCAGATCCATCACTGAAATTAAAGTGGACTGTAATCCCGGGGGTGGATACTTCTGTTAGTAATAGGCCAATGGGGATGTGCCACTAGATAGGGTCACATTTTCACGGCTGGATTGACTATAATGGGGTTGCATTTTCATAAGAGTTACTAGAATGGGATCGCATATTTTCGGGATTTGGGACATTAGAAAATTCAGGTAGGTGTGGATTTAAAAATGAGAAGATTTTTACGTCATTAAGTTTAACCGATGTGTCAATTCTTCATTACAGGGTGCCTTTGGTAAAAGGCTTTACAAGTAAAGTAGATGCTCAAACAGAAAGTTGCTACAAAGTTGGGATCGCGAGAATTACATTTTCCAAAAGTGACTAAGAGGCGGTCTATATTTGCCCACAGAATAGACTACAATGAGATAGGGGTTCTGAGAGGCCAGAGGCACATACCCAGTAAAAATTAACCCTCCCCCGCCCGCCCCGTGGAGTGCAATCAGACGAAGCCTTCCTCCCCTTTCTAGTTTAATTCAAACGTAGTCCAGTCATTTCGGTTAATATTCAACCGACTAATCAAACTAGGAATGCTCCGCCCGATCGCATTCAGTTCAAAGTTTTGAGATCGGAATTAACGCTCGGATGGCTTGCCATTCAGCGAGCCGTCGCTGAGTGATAGCCAGGCAGGTGATCAAGTTCTGTAAAGGGCTATTTGTTGCTAGTTCCTAACCTGCCAAATACCGCCATAGTAACCACGCCTGTATGTACCACGTGCCAATCCGTATCTCGACTCGACCCAGGCCACACGGCAGAGGAACTTTTTATCATTTGGAAAAATTCCCAGGCTGTTTATGGTGTCCACAACATCCTTAACAACAGCCGCTCCTTTTCCATAAGCCACGATACTTGAGTAAGCCATACTTCCCACGAAAAATTGACAGGCCAGACTGGCTATAGCAAGCACTTTCAACCACATGTTGGGTTAAACTAGAAAACATGGCACACATCATCAATATTTATAGCCTGCGCCACTGACGAAACTAAACTCTTGTTAAGTCCGTCTGCGAAACAGCGCCATAGTCCTTATTCTGGGCCCTCTCCTGTGTACTAGGATTCGAGTATGCGCCATGATCATTGGCCTGAAAAAAAGCCATTGTGGATTTTGTTGATATCGTTGGGAGCCTTTCGGCGCTGATTTGCAGATGTTACCAACCGGTGTTAAATATTACGTTTGCGACGCAGGCTACAATTTTTACCTAATGGAGATAGACTGAAACTGGCAAATTTCCCTGATTTGTATGCCTCCAAAGTCTGTGGGGGAACACCTTCAGCTTTCGGAATAATATCTGTCTGCGGAATAATAGGACCTGTCTTATTATGGCTCTTTCTTAGATACATAATAATTTCCTGAGATTAACTTAGTCAGGGGTCTTCATTTTTGCACCACTGATCCTTAGAGTTTTATGGGGGACACATTTGTTGATATTCGTGCTAAAACAGTTCATCCGCGGCGAATTCAGAAAATGCCCTAGTAATTATCGGATTCCATTTACTGGATTCCAGATCTTTTTAAGTGGAACTTGGATTCCGGATTCGAATTGTTAGTGGGATTCCGGATTCCTACACCTGTATTCCGGATTCCAAGGCCCAGAATTCCGGATTCCACAAGCGAAAATTTCCAAGATTCCGGATTCCAAATGCAAAAATTTCCCGGATTCCGGAATCCGGATTCCTTTACATGGGGCGATTATTTATTTGATGTATGAAAACACAGGAGCCGTGGACGACTGAATTGCCAAGAAGCTAGTATAAATTCAAAGAAGCAAAAGATATCACACCGAAAAGGGAAAAAGTTTCCTCTGAATGGAGGCTGTTTTCGAAAATTAATTTTACTACTTATCATTCTTCATGATGTTATCGAATAGAAACCAGAACTAGCAAGAACTCAGACGAGTTGCGAGCGATTGAGAAAGAAGGCGGATCAATCTTTCTGTTACTGTTTTTATATAAGGTTCCGTGCCCAGCTGCTAAGATTGATTCCAAAAGGCTTGTGTAAGATACTTGCAAAAGGCTTGTGTAAGAGTCCTTACAGAAGGGTTGTGTTAGATACTTACAGAAGCTTGTACAAGAGTCCTTACACAAGGCTTGCGTGAAGGTGCTTACACAAGGCTTGTGTAAGATACTTACACTTGATCCGGTTTACACAGTGCTTGTGTAAGAGTTCTTGGATCAATCTTAGTAGCTGGGCACAGAACCTTATATAAAAACAGTAACAGAATATAATATACAACACCTTATATATTCCACTGCATTAAAATTACCCTATTTTAGTTGCTGTGTCACTAAATAACGCAATTAAATTAAAATAGCTCATTACTAAAAGTCCTTCCTACGAACGCCTTCTTTAACACTTAAAAATCATGTAAAATTGTTGTCTTTTGTGTATGAGTTACAGAAGGCGTTCCTAAGATAATTACCGAACACGTAAGAAAGCTTACAGAAGGCTTGTGTAAGATACTTACCGCTTGTGTAAGAAGGCTTACACAAGTCTTCTGTAAGGACTCTTTATACAAGGCTTGTGTAAGTATTTATCACAAGGCTTGTATAAACAGTCCTTACAGAAGACTTAAAGGTGCTTACACAAGGCTTGTGTAAGATACTTACAGAAGGCTTGTGTAAGAGTCCTTACACAAGGCTTCTGTAAGATACTTACAGAACGCGAAGAAGGCTTACACAAGGCTTGTGTAAGATACTTACAGAACGTGTAAGAAGGCTTACACAAGGCTTGTGTAAGATACTTACAGAGGGCTTGTGTAAGAGTCTTACAGAAAGCCGAAGAAGGCTTACAGAAGGCTTGTGTACGAGTCTTTACACCAGGCTTGCTACAGAAGGCTTATTTGAGATAACCGAAGGACTCTACACAAGCCTTCTGTAAGTATCTTACACAAGCCCGGAGTCTGTAAGGACTCTTAGCTTACACAAGCCTTCTGTGAGGACTCTTACACAAGCCTTGTGTGTATCATTATAAGAACGTTTTGAAAAGATATCGTATGGTTTGGTGTCAAGTGCTTGTAATCGGAGGAGACATTGGCCAGAGTGCGTCGGGCGTGTAAACGGAACATTTGGTTTTACTGGCCGAGTTACAGGGCGCAGTTGCTCAAAGGCCGATTAGTGCTTAACCCGGGATTCTTTTTCTTTCTTCAAAACATTTCTTCGGATAATTTTCTCTGTTATTTTTAAGAGCATCCAATCAGCAACTTGTTGACAAAATGAATTACCATTGAATTTACTGTTTTAAAAGCTTTCACGTCTGAATTCAAACTTCGCACTAACCCTGTCAAAGCCTTCAAAGGAACGTGTGTGCGGCTCACGTCAATAACTTTTCCAGTAATTTGGTCGAGCGTGTTGATTTCAGTGACTCGAGAGTGGCGCTACTGTGGGTGAGTTTTTCCTAATAAATAACATACAGTTAAAGTGTTCGTTTGTCCGGTGCCGAAAATATCACAAGTCATGATCAAATGGCGCCGCCGAGCTTCACATCTCGGTAGATTTACTTTGTGACACAACGGCTGCCGAGCTACTCAACTCGGTAGATTTACTTTGTGACACAACGGCCGCCGAGCTACACAACTTGGTAAATTTACTTTGTGGCACAACGGCCGCCGAACTAATTTCGGTTTGATGCATGCACCAGTAGTAGCATACATTTTCCAAAGACAGTGACGTACCAAGCAGAAAAATATGGATGCTTAATCCAAAGTAAAATTTAACAGCAAACTTCTGAAAGATGAACGCTTTGGACGATTCAGCAAACACAGATGTACGCTTTACGAAGATTCAACAAACTTTTTAAAAGATGAACGCTTTACGAAGACAGAATAGCAGACCTCAGCAAACCTTTGAAAGATGAACGCCGAGGACACAAGAATCAACACATGTCGAGTTAGCGCGTCAAAGTGAGGCAAAACGTAAGCAAGCGCCTCAAAGCGAGGCAACTGTGTGTCGACGACGAAAATGCAATCTCAAAAAAACCTCCCTCATTAATTGCACAGAACACCCAACACAAATTAGGGGTTGCGTTCTCGTACCTCGAACGCAATAAACACCAAAAAAATGTCAAACCATTTCACTTTAATAGTTTTTTGGTGTGAAAGGCGCGATTTATTATGTAGCCATAGCAAAGGTGATATTTTCAAACGTGAAGATAACATGTTATTCAAGTTCACATGTGAAGATGTCAAGTTTTCGCGCGAAAGCTCACCTTGTATTTCATTGGTGTTTATATAATAAAAAGTTATCTTTATCGCCGACAGGTTGTGTTAACTATAAAACATTGATTCGCAATTTATGTTTGTTGCTAAAAAGGTTTGTCTCAGCCGAAGAGCAAAGCCGGGTACGAAAAATAAACAAGTACGAGACGACTCGTTGGTACGCAGTTTCCAATTTTCTAGCTCAGGATCGTTCATTAATTTAGTATTGTTTTTGTAACCCCAAATGATGTTATTGTAGTCATATAGAGGAAGAATTAGAGGATGAAAAAGTGTCAACCGAGTGTGTAATGGTACAAAATGTTTGATTTTTCGAAGAAGTCCAAGTCGCCGGTTTGTCTTGCTCATGAAATATTTTTAATGCGATTACCCCAGGACAGCTCTTTACTGAGTGGTACACCTAAGTATTGGAAAGAGACAGCGCGCTTTGTCAATGGAGCTTTCGTTGATTTGGATAGAGGATCCAAGATCCTTAGCTATCCTTGTTCAGATAGGGTTTCTACGTCTTCAGCCTGGAGCTGCCTGGGTTGTTTTGGCAGAATAGTAAATTAACATGTCATCATTTTCTTACCCGTTTTTTCCAGTGGAGATTTATTATTGCCTCTTGTAGTTCAACGAATGGTTCTGACCTCCTCACTTGTTGGAGCACAAATAGCAAAGACGATGCTTTCTTCCCCATTTAACTCGTCTATCGGAATTAAGTTGACCAATGAGCGCTTTTCAGCACCAAGGAAGTCACGGTCTTGCACATTCTCCATCGGCTACGTGCACGTTTGTCACTACTGTGCTTTGATTGCTGGCCTCGTTTGACCAGCCTAAATCGTCCATCACGAATTCTTCTTGCCTCGCTGAAAATGCTACTATGTTATTTCTGTTATCTATATAAGTAAGCCTGCACGCTCCGTCACGAGATTTTAAATCAAAATTCGCTTTGAAAGTGCGTTTATTTCACATGTAATATTTGTAAATGGCCAGGACACAAACGTTTGGAAGTTGGGTTGAGACGTCACGTACAAGACTAAAAAGAGAAAAACAAACCTTCACTTAATCCATTTTAACACACGTACGTCGGGTAGAGTTTAGGGAGCTTCAGCAACCACGACGCTCGAAGAACCACTTCCGTGTCAGCAAATTTTAACGGTCACCGACAACTTTGAGATGTAACTTGTGGAAGGGGGCCGAGATCTTTCAAACCATACCCAGTTGAACGCGATTCAGTCAAACAGGCCAGAGAAAAACAACTGAAAAATCATGTAACTTTTACCAGAACATTTCAATGAAAATCTTCTTCACAACCCATCTGTACTTCCTTGTAAAGAAATTCACGTTCCTCGGGGTGTTGGCGAAAACTTTTCTAATTGCAATAAAGCCTAGTAAATGCCCAGCAAAAGAAGAAAAGGTGGAATAAAAGTGAAACATGCCACAAGCGAGGAGGAGAGAAAACGAAAACTAAACGTTTCTCCGAAAACTCACTCAAAATTTTGCCTTCTGCTCATGCCTGAACTTTTTAAAAGCTGTAATAAAGTATCACGCACAAAAGCCAGCGTAGCGCTCGACTTGTAAACAACGTTTTGGTGCATTTGGTTTTGCTCCTTTTAACTGGAGCCAGATGGTCACCGGAAAACCGCTCGACTATCATAGAACGGCTTCCTGTTTTCGGCAAAAATTCCAAGGGCAAAGGGGTTAAAATATGATAAATCATTTCTGA